ACATTGTTATGTAATAATGCATCAGCAACAAAGCTAAGACACATCCAAATTCTCTCCAACAGCAGCAACTAACAATTCACCAAGGCATCAACAGTGAAGTCAAAAATACAACACCAACTCAAAATAGGCACCAGTAATGACAACAATATCAACTCTAAGCCAAGATCTGGTAAGACTAAAATGGCAATAAAGAAAAAAAAAAGTTATAGTTAATACAGCGCAAAAAAAAAAAAAAAAAAAAAAAATCAACTGATTTAATCAGTTAATGATCACTATTTATACCCTATGATTAGAGGCAGTATTGGCAAGTAATATCATATGACTTATATGACTTATATAATTTGTCATAAGTCATAAGTCATTTGATAAAGATATATGACTTATGACCTTTAATTATATAAATTAACTAATTATTTTTTATATAAGTGTATAAGAGTAAAAACCTGAAAATAGATTTAATAATTTACTATAATTGGTTACAGGTTTTTATTCTTATATATTTATATATCAATATGTACATTTTATAAAAACCAAAACTAATTAGACTTCTATTAAAATTATTATATTTATAACACATATATATTTTACATAGAGAACGCTTATTTTTACTATGAAAATTTACTATTTTCACTAATAGCTATAATTTATTATAACAATATGTTTACCATTTTATTTAGCTTAAAAGTTATAGTAAAAATAGTAAATATCTGTAGTATTGATAGAAAAACTAATCTAATATATGCAAATATTTAACAGTTAATATATAAAATATTATAATAAAAACAAATTACAAAAATAACTTAAAAACTTTTCACGACTCAAATCAGAATAAGCAACTAAAAAATTTGTTTTATTTTCAAAGTTTTATATTCTAATAGACAAATATCTTAATATATTTACCAGATTTGCAACTTAATCAAAGAAGATATATATAAAAGATTTTCTATCGCAATATATAAACTTCTCACACAATGCAATAATAAAAATTCTAGCAAATAATCAAAAAGTTTAAAAGTTTTTATTTTTTAAGACTTTATTACAACAGCCTGTATAATAAATTAAAGGTTTAAATTTATATTAGTTTGATATATTTACCTTTATTATAATTAATTGATTAGGCTAAAAAGATCTAGCTACTAAAGTAAATATTTATTATAGAATAATAACATATTGTTCTAAAAACTTATTACATTATAACAAGAGATTCGCTTTAGCCAGATTTACTATAATGAAAATTGAATACAGCTAACTCTTTCTATAATGAACTAAAAATTCTGAAAAAAAAAGTTTGTTATATAAAATTACTATGTTTTCTTAAAAACCTATACCATTTTTTATACTGAACTATTATAAAATTTCAAAATTTTGAGTTCATTATGTTTAGAATTCATTATAGAAATCTAGAGTTGACTGTATATATTAAAAAAGTATTAAGTTTCAAAAATAATAATTTATATTACAAACCTTTTTTATTTTGAAACTAATATTATTATAAATATAGATGACTCCAAGCTATCAATAAAAAGAGATGATAGTTTCCATTTTGCATTTAAATCTTTTGCTGGATGAATATTGCGTGTTCCTACTAAAAACTCTTAATTCAAATCACTATTAAATAACAATTCATCATTACTATTTTCAATTTGATTTTTATAATTAATTTCTTCAATCTATTGAGAAATTATTGCATTCCACTGGCTTTCATTTTCTTCAGTACTTAGTTCTACTAATTTATTACTATTATTGTCTTCTATATCACTGTCATCACTCATTACTATATTTTCTTCATTATTGTTATTAATTTGAGAATCTTTTATATATTCATCAAAGTCACCAAAAATGATTGGAGTTGCAATATGAAGTCTTTTTATTTGTTGATTAGATTGAATAGCTTCTTTAACACAGTATTGATATAAAATTTCACTTTGAAGTTAGCTCATCTCAAGAACTTTAGTATGCTAAAAATAAAAATAAAAAATTGAAAAAAAAATTAATTAAAGAACTTGCGATAAGGTAATTGTTATTACAAGATCAGATAACTTTCAGATTATATATTGTATCTTGTTAGATGCATATTTTTCTAGTTAATATATAATTATATATTAAATTTTACTATAATCTGATTAAGCAATAATAAAAATTAAAATCTATTTAGGCTATGATTTGAAAAAAGGACGAAATTGACAATTTTTAAAGATATTTTTTATATAAATCAATTTAGAATAAAATTAGAATTATTTTTTAATTAAGACACAAAAGCAGTTGTATTAATAAAATTTTGCAATATAGCTCTTTAAAGTTTGTATTTTCTTATAATTTATTATAAGATTTACAATATAAAAATTAATTTTTAAGATCTTTTTTTTGTCAATTTCATTACTTTTTTTAGATCATGGCCTATTTAAAATATATAATACAAACTGATAAATGGTTTCGCCTAATAGTATGAAAAAATCTTATTGAAGACCATAAATGTTCGACTGAAGCAGAGTTTACACAAACTCTACGAATATGAATAGAAATTTTAGCTAACTCTGGTCTAACTCCCATAGTTGATTCCCAAAAATCTAAAATATTTTCTTTAAGAAGAAAGAAATTATAATCATATAGGTCATCTCCTCTTTTGTAACTTATTAGTTCTGCTAAAATTTTTGTAGCTGGAGTTCCAAAAAAAGCAAGATAATAATATTTTAGCCATTGGCCAATATGCGTCCATATCAAGTTGTTTATGGTTGATCGAAATTTTGATAATTTGTATAATGGATGAAGAACAATTGAGAGTAATAAAAGAGGCTGTTCCCATCTTTTCCATCTATTTTCTATTCTAGATTCCATCTGTTCTGCAAAATCTAAATCATAATATTCAAAAAATATCTTTATAGCATAGCCAAAACAATGAACTACTTCATAAAGCTGAGCAGAATCCTTTTGTAATCTATTAAGGAACCCACATAAAGGATATAATAAATTTTGCAAAGAAAATAATGTTAACCAAAATTCAGAATAGTTAATACTATCAGCAATATCATTAGGTAGTTTATATTCTCCATTATTTTTTTTAGATCATTTATTAACCAGAATATTAGGAACACCATTAGTACGAATAATATTCACATATTCAGAATTAAACTTTGCAGATAAAACCTATATTTATAATCATAAGAAATTTATGAATAAATATTATAATATATAAATGCCGTTAAAAGAAAACTTGAAATTAGGTTTTCAATTATATTTGGTATATAGTTAGCTATCTATCAATTTAATAGATGTCTAACTATACACAAAATATAATTAAAAGTCTGATTCCAGGTTTTCTTTTAACAGCACTCACATATTTAAAATATATTATATAGTATTTGAACTTTAAGATCTGATATACACTGATTATATAATATATTAAGTTTTATAACTCATATAATATTAAATAATTAAATAATATTTATCTTTAAAGCTGCTTGAGTTTTTAAAACTGAGTAAAAGCAAAAATAATATGAGTTCCATCTAGTATTGCCAGATAATATTAATTGAATTGTTTTCTTGTAAATTCGAGTTTGCTCATCTCGTAAGTTTCCTATAAGAAATGTAGATTTATGAAAATAGCTAACTATTCGAACTGCTTCATTTGGAATTCTTCGAAAAGTTGCATTTTCTTTAAAAATATCATCAATCATTAGGTTCATTTGATGTGCCATGCAGGGAAAAAATATTTTAGAAGGATATTTTTGACGTAATTGTCATCTAATTACATAAAATAAATTAATTTTTTTTTATAAATCACCTAGCTGCAGCATATTCTTCTGCTGAATCTGACACAAATGCATTTATTTTAATTTTTTTTATCTTGAGCTTTATTCATCAAATTTTTAATATGTTGTATAACATCCTCTCTGTTCATGATTGTTCTGAGCTTATTTCTTGTACACTCCAGATTAACGGTTTTCCCTTGGAAGTAATAAGTACAACACCCCAAAGATTTTCTTATTTTACATTGGTCCACCTATCGAATTCTGCGGTTAATCCATTTTCATCTGATTGTGCAATTTTGAGCATATTTTTGTTAAAATTTTTTGAAGCATTTGATAAAATTTTGTTACCAAGTTTTTTTTTGGGTTGGAAGTTTAAAACCAGGCACAATAAATTAAACAATACCTGTGTTTCCTCATTTTCTATGAAAGAAAAAAGAAGACCATTTGAGATACACATTCTGATTACTAATGTTTCAAATGTTGGTATATCTTTTTGTGACATCGGCCTTCTATAATAATTATGCAAAGATGTTTGTTGGTTACTCTTTGAAGCAGCTATATTGGATACTGTAGAAATAGAAGAGTTATGACGCTTAATTGGCCTAGATATAGTAGCATCATTATTATTCATGATATCTGCTATAAGAATAAAAATTATATATGCATTACAAATTTTTTGTTTAAATATATTAGGTTATACAAGATTAATTAATTGGTTTTCATAACCCGGCCGGGTCAAAATTTGGAAACTTGTAAAAAAATTTTTTATATGCTTTAGTAAGGTGGGTATTTAAAGAAATTTTAAAAAAGTTTTATAAAATTTGTATATATGAAATTTAAAAAAAAGCCGGCCAGCTGTGTCTGTTTAAAAGTTTCATGTTATGAAAACCAAGGTATAAATATTTGTGGCCTTATATATAAAAAGTAGTTTATTTTGAACTTGATGAATTCGAATTAAAAAGTTTATAATGTCATTAAATTTATGCACCTGAATTGTTCCGTTTATCTTCTGGCACTGGTCGAGACAAGATTTCTTCAACTTCTTCAGTAAATACATCCTTAAAATTGTTACAATTTGCTAAATGATTACGACACAAGATAGCCTTATTTGTTGTATAATATTCAGGAATTAAGGCTGCCGCTTGAGTTCCTCCATTTTTTAAACTACAAAAATTGCAAACTGCTTTTGCATTAGATTTATTATTAGGATTTTGAATTAAGGTAAAAAATTCTCGAAAATTGTATGGATCAGGCATTGGTAAAAAGTTTATAATTGGTTATGGTTTGATGCTATGCTCTACAGTATTTAAAAATATATTTAGTTTGCAATTTTTATATTTCATTTGAATGTAAGTTTACTGACATGCCTTGTACATAGATATCTTCCGGCCCAAGATAGAGAATTAGTTATATAATGGTTTCACCCTTGAAAAAGAGTTATCTACTAAGTAAACCTTTTTACGTGCGTATAAAAAAGGGTCTTTTGCATCGCCAGATCTTTATTTATTTAATTACCAATTACGCCATAATTTACAAAATAAGTATTTAGTCGCTTTGCTAAATTTAAAAATTTCTCAGCGTATGATTTGGTTTCATATGCCATTCTGCAAAAATTAATGTTTTTTATGCAAAGATTGATAGATAAATTTGACATTCACATGAATCTTTAAATTGGCAGGTTTTTTTTTCCTCTCTGCCAACATAATTATGTTTATTATATTATGTAATTTCGAAGCTTCATAAATTCTAGTAGAAGCATTAGATGGTATAGCTATTCTAAAAACAGCAAATTAATTCATATTCATTCTATTTATCGCTATAACTAAATATATAAAAAACTTTTTATCTTGTACCTTCATATTCCACCTTCTTTCATTACTGCATTACTACTGTTACTTTATTTAGCACACTACTTTCACTTGTGCTTTTATGAAGTGTTCTTTATTACGCAATATTTTTGTTCGAAAAAAAAACTTACGTACATACGTACGATTTTTCTTTTATACATTTAATATTGTTACACATTTATACATCATTAAAATAAACTCTACATACATAAAAAGCATTGCGCACACGATATAATTATTATTAATTGGAAAAACAGGCTAATAATGCCAAATATTATAACTTTTGTTAAATGAGAATATGCAGAATTATCGGTGCAATTAACGTACAAACTGAGACGGACATGCTTTATGGGTAGGATGCTATCTGCAGCAACTGATCTTATTTCAACTTGGCAATGAAGTTATAATTAGTAAAATTATTTAATAATACCTAAATGAGCAACTGATTAAATTATACGCATGTGCTTTCTCATGCGATGCCAGCTTTATTTGATCAAATTGACCATTAATTCTGGTTTGAACTGGTTACCTGGTCTACACAACCTAGCAGGTTTACTTCTAGCATATTCCGCTTTTCGATCTGTTGACCTTCTGTCAACTTGAATTAAACTCTATATGCTCGCTAATGTTTGATTGACTAATTATATATGTCATATAACAAATGACATATGAGTAAGTTTTTTTTATTATGATTAAATATCATATAAGTCATATGATATATGACTAGTATATATGACTAGATGACATATGAATATATATCATATGACAAAATGACAACAATCATGTTCTTGAGGTTAGATGACCAAGTCATTGCCCAACACTGATCAGGGGCGCATCACGGTGCATAGTGTATCAAAGCCGAATCGAAGTTACAAGTCAATTTAGTCCATCGAATTGAGTCTCGAAAGGGTTTATTAAAGTTACAAGTCGAATTCAAAGACAAAGTCTCAAAGGAAAATTTAGATAAGTATATTTAGTGGTAATTGAAAGTGGACAAGGAACTGTTCTTTCGTTTATTGAATTCATGGTCCTTATATACATTTATATTTTCGGGAACATAGACACCGAAATTTTAACGTTTACATCAAAAATCTAACGTTGACGTGGAAATTTGGGTGTATACACTATAAAATTTTAGGTCACAGTCATCGTGTAATCACGTATACATGATTTTTTTGGTGTTTACGTGATTCATTTGATTTCTATGCAGCAGCTAAGTCACTAAACCACTCATTATTACCGCTTTAGTATGTTATGAAATAATCAAAAGAAATTAATTAATATACCAAAATTGGACATTGATACCAAAATGGGTGGGAATTACTAATAAACTATGTACAGGCGGCAAAGTTACCGACTAAAATATGAGTTTAGAACAAAAAGAAACTAAAATTTTAATTTATTACAGTATGCACCGCCATCCAAAAATTTATGAAATCAATTATTATACGATGCTTAATAAAATTTTATAAAAATTGCAAAAGCGGAAGTATAATTTTTTAAATATGTAAATCACATGATCTTAAATTTTTTTTATCCTGGTCATCTAAAATAATTGTTAATGGCTTAATAAATTTATTAAAAAAATAAATTTAAAGTTTTAATAATGTATTTTTAATATGTATTCCCATATTTCAACCCCAGGAATCCTAATTTAGGAATGCGCGGTACCGGCCGGTCTCGTACCCAGGACTACCAATAGTAAACCCTGCGCCTTAACCGTTAATCC